GTGTGTGTGTGGTCGAGTTGGATTAGTTAAAATGCTTGTGGTGGCTTGCGTTGGTGGCGTGTGGTGTACTGTGGCTGTGCTGGATTAGTGAAGTTATTTGTAGTTAGTGTGCGGTGGCAGTGACGGTAGTGGTGTGTGATGGTGGTAGTGGTGGTGTAAGGATACACTCACAGCTCTCTGGGCCACAGCTGCAACTCGTCCTAGTCCATATGAAACTTGTCACTGGTGTAACAATAATAATAATACGATCTGGCGTTGATACGAACATGGGAAAGAGGTCCTGGTGTGTGTGTGTGTGTGTGTGTGTGTGTGCGAGAGAGAGAGAGAGAGAGAGAGAGAGAGAGAGAGAGAGAGAGAGAGAGAGAGAGAGAGAGAGAGACGAGTTACTCAGATCTGGTGCTTGTGGAGCGCTGAACAAGCTTACTGGAGGTTAAATCAACATGCACTGACTCACCAGCACACCCGCTATAGTAGTTGTCTCAGTCAAACAGGACACAGGAACCAAACACCTTCAGGCAGGTATTTCCCCTCATTAATACATGCCGTGCATCTGCCAATCCTTTTCCCAAACATCATCATTAACTCGAACACGCTGGATAGCTTCAAACAAAGGTTGGATGGATATATTGCGATGGGGGTTGGGTGTAAGCGGTACTGCCCAGTATGGGCTAATAGGCCCCCTGCAGATTCCTCCATTCTTATGTTCTTAAGTTAATATAAATACAGACTTTGGTGTTTAATCTGAAAGTGAAATAAGCTGGGCGGTAGGGGCAAAAATCTTCATGTGATTCCTATTTTTAACTTGACACCTTACAACACGAAGCTTTGACGAAATATCTGTTGTGAAAAAGACCAAATATGATCCGTGGGACGACAGGGCGACGAGGGGGGAGGGAGGGGACAGTGAGCGGAGGTTTGCGTCTTTCGTCTCAAATACTACGTCACATCCGGCCAACTAGACACAACATAAGAATCCTGCTGGAAATGGAGTGTCCCGGTGTTGTGTTGTGGTGGTATTGTGTGGCGGTATTGTTGTGTGACACGTGTTATGGCGGTGTGGCGGTGGTGTTGTGGTGTGGTAGTCTTGTCGCGTGGGAGTGTTGTGGCGTGGCGGTATTGTCGTATTGTGGCGTGGCGGTGTTAAACCTAGTTGAACCTTAACATTTACATCTGGTGTGAGAGTATAATCTTCTTTATCAATACTATGCACAAGTTATATTAGTATTCCCGCTGTTACCTGTGTCTTGAGAGAGAGAGAGAGAGAGAGAGAGAGAGAGAGAGAGAGAGAGAGAGAGAGAGAGAGAGAGAGAGAGAGAGGAGGCACATATTCAATAACACAATACAGTGACTGGCATTGGCAATAACTTTCAATGACCTTCAATAGCTGGCTAAGTAAACTACCGCCATGTTGTTTCACTCCAATGCGGCATCATATCAACAAAGAATTAAGCTTTAGGTTAGGTTAAGTTAAATTAGGTTAGATAAGGTTAAGTCAGGTTAGGTTAGCCATATAAGGTAGTTAAGGGGCTGGAGGGGCTAATCTTTAGATGATCTTAAACTAGTATTGATTCTCCTGATACTGAAAATTCTGAATACACTTTGTGAACCTAACCTAACCTGACCTGACCTAACCTAACCCACTGAGGGAACCAAGAGGCGCTGTGGTTAAGTGGGAAGTCCATTTACCGCGTCTCAAGTAGATGATGAACCGATCCTGGGTTGAAGACTCCTCCCACCCACATCCACTCTCCTCCGCCCTCACCTCCGTGTAGTAGGTAAGGGAGGAGACAAGGTTTGGGTGGGAAAAAGGTGGGAAGGAAACAGGAGTGTGGGCGGGAACAAGGGTGTGGGCGGGAACAAGGGTGTGGGTCAGAACAAATGTGGGAGGGAACAAGAGGCAAGAGGGACGCGCGTTAACTCCCAGAAAAGTTTATTGTACACGCGAGGCCACAACTTTATAAACACTTGAGTGATGGAATGTACGCGTGCTGCCGTGTGTGTGTGTACAGTTGAACACACACACACACATACACGTGAATTCTTTTGTACAATCAAGCTATACACTTCCATCATTATATGCTATCGACCTGTTATATACAAGTATCAAACAGTGTCATCTTGTTTTATACAGGAGCAGTTTGGATACAACGAATGTCTGGATCATTACACGACACACGTGACGTCACCCACACGGGAGGGGGAGTCCACCCTCTTATGACGTCATGACTCAACCCCCGCCCCCCACCTGTACTTTACACAGATGTATTCGGGGGAGAGACGAAATTTTAGAGCCACAAAACACAACGCACCTTTATGAGTAAGGTCTCAGGCAAAAAATAAAAAATAAAATCAATAATAATAAATAAAAACAAGACGATTATGACCCTCATGAGACTTCCGATAATTCAGCTTTAAGTTTTAAGTAAACTATGGTAACCCTGACAACAATGGTTTATACAAATTAACTTATTACTGACAACAACGAGTTTATGTAAATTATTATACCCTTGACTACATTAAACTTAAATAAATTATCGTAGATATAAATTACTGTGTCCTCGACAAGACGTTTATTCAAATTATCGTATCCCTGACAAATGTATGTACACATCTCCGTATCACCAACGGCAAACACAAAATAAAAATTAGTTTCAACTCTAATCGTAAATATTCCCTCTGCCAAGCCACCATTTCCTCGTTGCCTATCGCTGTATATATTATTTAAATTAATTAATATTTACAGCTTCACGCATCTTACTGATCGACGGAGAGTGGAAGTGGGCGAGAGGAGGACATAGAGGCGCCGGAACATGAGTCACTTGCGACACTTTCCTCCTGACCCAGATGCATGCTAGCTTATTATTATTATTTAGAGAAGCACAAAAAACTTTCTACTACCACCATCACCACGTTTACTACCACTATCATCACTTCCTATCACCATTATCACTTCCCCTTACTATTATCATTTTCCCTTATCATCACTCTCCATTACTATCACCACTCCCCCACTACCACCATCACCACTTCCCACTACCACCATCAACACCCCCCCCCCTTAGCCTGTACTTGGTATCTATGTGTTTACAGTCGGTGTTATCGTGTTATGTTTGTTCACGTGTTCAGAAAAAAAAACCCACTACATTCTTTCCCTTACATTTTACCGTCTTCCAATATTTTTTTTTCATTATAACCAAAATATATCAATCAGTTTATGTTATTTATTATCCCGGATTTACTATCTTCCATTAATAAACCTCTTTCTGTTAACTTATTATGTACCAATCCTACAGTACCTCGTTAAGGTTATAGATTTAAAATATATCCAGGTCACATTGAGAGAATATCGTGTACGTGACCCACTATACCATTATAACTAAATGTACACGTAAGCAGTCACTCATTCTTCCTGGCTGTATCTTATCACCATTAACTTACTGAAACAGCGTCTGATCCATCGGGTACTAACATAATTTCAGTCAATTTCCGGTGAGGGGTAAGGAGGCCCCCCTTTCAAGCCTCCCGCCGTCAATAACGCCTTCCTTCACCTTATATGGGGAACGCAAGCCTCTCGTAACCCCGGTGTTAGGGGGAAGCAACAGCCTGGGGATGCATATGGCTTAAGACTTCATGCACTTCTCTCACGAATTTCAGCCGTATTGTCAAGATGTGGGTAGAATTTATTTCCCTCCCATCTGGTCGTAAATGCGATGGTCGACATAAGTGGACTTTCTCACCGCCCTGAAATGCTCACACTTAACCCTCCCCTCCCTAACTCGGCATTGACCGGAGCAGCGTGAGTAATGTATAGTTTCTGGGTACAGCGATGATTCTCCAATTTCCACTGTACGTGGTTTTCTTTATTCAGTAAATTAGTAGGCTTTCCGGATAACGCCCCTTGACTGTCTTTAAGATACAATACTGTATAGTTTTACGTGCACAATTATACAAGTCTCGCAATTCAAGGTTTCAATCCTTGATCTGTTAATACCGAAGCTTCTCATTGACAGTAAACGGATTTATCAGTAATGTTATCATTTATATATGGAACAATAATGTTTAAGATTAACCCAATAACTGAGTCATTTGGGATATCAAGGATACCCCACAAACACAATATGAAGTATAACATGAAAGATTAAAAAAAAATGAAATTGAAGATACAAAATGTAGAAGGCATTAAAACCAGAAAAAATATGTACTCATCACGGGTGGTGAGGTATGAGTATGAAGTGAGGCAGAGAGTAACTGGCAATTAATGACCCCTGGTTGTTGCTGTGACGCAAGAGGTGGTTGTGGTGATGCAAAGTAGGTGGCAGCCCTTTCGTAGGCCGTGGCGCCGTGGGTGAGGGCAAGGGGCCACTGAGGACAGGAAGAGGGGAGAGGAGGTGAAGAGGAGTAAATAATTCCAAATCGTCCCATGATGACGATAGTAAGTTGATGAGTCTTCACTGGTTTGTGTCTCATTCTAGAGTGTCTACCAATCATTGGATTTCCATTCCTAGCACGATTTTTGAGGCACGGCTTTAAATTCATGGCGGCAAATGCCAATTGTCTTTAAGGCGACGATACCGCGATATCGGTCAATTATCCGAAGACGATGATGATAATTAAAGGGTTAATAAGAAAACGTAATTGCATAATGTGACATAACTGATTCACCTGATGCATAAACATTTCTGTACTACATAGTATTGAACTGTACGTCTGAGCGCGGCACTAAACATTGCGTCATCGAGAGGAAGATCTGAACTGCCACCAACAACAGTTCCCATCACTTTTATTTTAGTTACACAGGTTGGTAAAGGCGAGAATTGCAAGTCTTTTCAATTTATATGTGATTAAATATAACAAATTGTTAAATGATTATTTCAAAATATGTGAATGCCGATAAAAGTCAATTGAGTTTTGTTGCGAGATCGGTATCCTTAACAGAACGAACTCCCTGAGACCCAGTGAGTGACTCATGGGCTGCAGACGTTTATAGCCTCGCCTGTCCTGCAGCGCCTGTCAGTACAGCCAAGGTGGTGCCACGGTGTGGTATACGACGACGGTTGTGATATATTTAGGTTGTGAATTTTGTGTAAATAATCGATACGACTATTTGATATCCGAAACCGAATAACTTCTCAAGTTATCATAGTATTGTGCAAACAGGACTTCTTCAAGCAGTGTTGCCATTTCATCGAGACAGAAGCAGTTATTTAATTAAAACAAATTTGATCAAGATGGTGAGGTGTATGATACGATCCCATAACCAGCAGTACAAGCTCGCCCCCAGAGTGAGTATTGAACACATTAATCATTATTACCTCCCTGCACTCGTGTCTTCATTCCAAACTTCCGTCTCTCGCTCCAAGCTTTTGGGGGTAAAGATTTTATCCAGGTGATTCACTAGGTACTAAATAGAGGAAGATAGCCATTGCATGTTGAATTTATATAATTTGATGTATAGACGTCCCAATGCCTGTTGCGAGCCGATATATTTCAGACTGTAAACCTAATAGCAGGGTGGTTTAACTTGGCACCCGTGATATACCCCAAGTAACCAACACTCATTTTTGTGTGTGTACAGATGAAAAAACATGTTTATTTTTTAATCAGCTTCGTAAATAATAGTAAAGCCTAACTCGCTTTTATAGAGTAACCCCCTCCTTAAAATATTCAAGAGAAATGTCGAGGTTAAGTTGAACAAATTATGACATTAAAGAATTTTGCGGGAGTATATAGAAAAAATACCAAGGCGTGTTCCATACCTCCTAGTTACGTTTTGAACACTTAGATGGTCAAAACGTTTCACAATACGATATATCTGGACTAGCCCAACACGTTCCCGGTACGTTCAGGCAGATAAGAGACACTCCTTTGCATCACGCCCCATCATGTTTATCGTATATGATTCCTGTTACACAAGTTTATAGGCGAATATGTATATATGAGTAAAAATTAAAGCACTTTTGAGAAAATATATTGAGAGGGAAGTGAGGAGAATGCTGTAGAGTTCGTATGGGGGAAGTACAGTAGTTCGAAACATAAATGATGAATCTTAATGAGCAAATGAGTCACTGGTACCGGTAGAGTAAAATTAAATAGCCAAAGAGTAAGAGACGAAAATTAAATGAGGAGGCGTACAGAGAAGTGTGTGTGTGTGTTCGTAAAATATTAAGTCAATTTAATTGCTTTGAAGAAAACAAAGAGAATGCACAACATGGTTCGTAAATTTCAAAGGTTAGTGCGATGAATGTGCCTCGTAACTCCCTAAGCTAAAGTATAAAAGAGCAAAACTATCAAGCTATTTATTTTGACTAGCTATGGTCATTTAGCATCAGTTAAGAAGCAAAGTTAAGGTAGAGAATCTTAAGAGCTAATTATTGTATTGTGTATCTATAATGTTTATCACAATTATTTGAGTGTTATTTTTTTGGCGGTTTTAGTTAAGTTAGTCAGAAAGGTACTTTTTATATATTTAATAATGAAGGATATCGTATGAACCTTAGAGAACTGTCTCGGGAAATTTACGCCCCTCCTCTCCCTACTGTAGCCCTCATACTCTTTCTGTTTACAGAAGCCAATTCATACATGCGTTTGTAGGTAATCCATCACACCGGGAGCGTCGAGTCAAGTTTACTCATGTCATGGAAGGCTTGGCAGGAAGTTGGAGTATTACCGCTCTGTAATCAATCTAATTGTCTCTTGTTCAAATACGGAAGATAGCATTACATTCAAGTCTGATTACTGGACACATAGGATAACGGTAGTGTATATGTTATCGGGTCGCGACTCTGGATTCTCTTTATTCAAACCCAATAACGCAATCTATCCATATGAATTACCTTACCTAATATAACTTATATTGTCCACATTATTTACCCTCCCTAACCTAAATAGGGACCACAGATATCTCGCCAGAACTGGCTACCTGAAACTAATTTGATCAGTTTTGCGGTTGTTTTAGAAAGACGTTTTAAATTTATAATATATTGTGTGGTGATATTTAAAGCTAATCCCATTAAAAAAAAAAAATATATATATACATATATATATATAACAGCATACCTCTATTTGTTTAATGAGAAAGAATACCAGATACGTCTTCTGTTTGTCTTTCTTTAGAATTTCACCCCAGGATAACCATACAGTATGTATCTGGAATTATAGAACGCAAAAAAAGGTAAATGTAACAGGTTCTCCTCTTACTTAAAACTATTGTACGATTTAATACACTGGCAGGCCAGAAGAAGTGAAGACGACATAATATTTTGTTGTTAAAATATGGATGTGATCACGTGGGTATGCACGAACTGAGTCATCTATTATTAGACACGGACATTCCAGCAATTACAACAAACATTCATTTCTACTATAAGAAGCACATTAGAGTATCAACATGTCGCTACTCACATACAGTAGACGTAATTATGCTAATTAAAAATATATTACCCACCTGATTTACTAAACCTTGTGGTCAGCCTTTTATGACTCCAGTATTTATACGGGCTGCTGGTAGCTCGAGTAATTTTAGGTAAAGAAACACACGGACAAGGGACGAGGCTCCGTCACATTACAGGCGCCAGGAAATAGTAAATGTAATTGCTTATGATATTCCCCTGCTTCATTACAATAAAAAAAAAATATTTCAATAAGACAGTGATATCAGTTATAAAATTATACCGGTATATACTATTTGTATAAACGTCTGGTTTTGAAGATCTAATAAAAATATTTTTGTTTCGGTCATCCGGGGAATAGGTTAGATTACTTGTAGATTTGGTTAGTTGGATATATATATATATATATATATATATATATATATATATATATATATATATATATATATATATATATATATATATATATATATATATATATACAGGGATGACCGAAACTAAAATTTTACCAAATATAATAAATAATACCAACACGAGTAGGAAATACCAACCTTCCCAGAAAGCCTTTCTCTTAAGTTACCATTACAGCCCATCCCACTTGTCAGGGACTCTGTCTCGACGGGGGGGCTTGGCAAGGGCATGAGCAAGGGCAGGGCGACAGTCGGCACTACGCGGGAAGGAAATGAGACATTCCGTCACTTGACCTGGGAAAGCCGGACATCCCCCCCCCACTCATGTAATCTTCGTTTCATACAATGCGAGACGAAGATATATACTGTATAGCCTACATCAAAAACCCCCAACCCTTATAGATATGATTCAGTTTACAGCACTATGAGTATTTATTTATTCTTATACCTCCTTAGCAAATAACACACACCCTTGTCCGAGTATACCGTTGGCTTACTGTATATACTCAGACTGTATGTGATCTACTAAAGAATTCTTTTAGATCTCGTGACTTTACAAGTAAGAAAGCGTCATTTGCTTACCCTAGCATTTTCTCACGACACGCCACTGTTTATAACCATTATGGTCGTGCTGACGCTGTAGTTTAAAGACGTTTTCCAGCAACAACACCGGATGTTGTCTAAACACCAATTGACTCACAGTTTAACACCAACTCCAATTCACTCTTTTCCGTCCTAAACACTAGTGGTAGGTAAATTAATAAACTTGTATCCGAAATTCGAGGTTAGGTTGGGCACTTCATTGTAAACAGTAAAATGTTATTATTACTCTTACCTGGTGTTATAAGGAAAGTAGCTGCTGATACCACCAGTCGCCACACCAGCAGCCTTGATACACCAACTTATCACTCGAGTCTTAACACTCACACCTCGTGAGTCGTGACTTTACTGTTTTTATTTTACAATGCCCCCAGACCCAGTGCCCCACCTCCTCGCGTCGCTCTCTTGTTAATGGCGGGAAAGTATCTCCGCTAATTGGCTGAAATACTTAAGTTCCGGAAGCTTCTCGACGTCCATTGGCTAATGGCTCGTGACACCCACGATGACTCATTGTGCGCGGGACATATAGCCCAGATATAAATGCTCGTCAGTATTGGTTAATAACCATTTGCACAAAATTTATTACATTTGTTCATGCATGATATTTTCAGACTTTTTTTTACAAGTTGAATTATTTAATTTTGTGTGGCCGGGTAAATAATTTCTTAACCATTTGCTAACATTATTATTCTACGCTGTATCTAATGTATGATTATGAATGGTTTTTTTTCCTAGAGGAATTCAGTGTTGCATCTCAATAAAATATCGCTATTGTAATAATTACCATTATCATTGTTGGTTGTCATAAATGATAATTTTAATAGTAATGATCATTATTGATAAGTTATGTAATTTAATCACTAAAATTAATGGTAGAACAGGATTTATTTGGAGAGCAAGAGTTAATTAGGCTAAAAAAAATATATACTGCGTATTTTTATAAATACTAATACAAGTCAAAGAAGTTTGTTCCAAGGATGCATTATTTTTATTGCTAGTTTTGCAGGGGCGGGTCCAGGATGGGATGTCCTGGGGTCCGGACACCCCTTTTCGTCAAAAAATTCCAATACCTTTTCTTTAAAGCAGTATTGTATTGTACTCGGGCGTTTTTGTATAGTAAAATGTAATTTCTACTAACTTTAGAATATCTCCTAATTTCAAGTGCCCATAGCTTCAAAATGGCCACAAAATATCCATAATATTGGTCAGATCCAAAAAAAAAAAAATAAAATTTTGTGTGGATGAGCTTTGTCCCCCCCCACCACTTTTGAGATTCCTGGATCCGCCCCTGTTTTGACTACAGTAGTTAAAAATCTAGGACAGCCATGGCATAATTTGGATCCTGTGAAGATAAGCCCCTCCCCCAGCCTTTTTCCACCTTAAGACTAAACACGTTAATGGTAACTTAACCTCCCCGCCCCCCTATAATGTTTAATCATTAGGTTGCGTAAACTGGGCCAAATCTTTAAGTGGTCCCACAATAATTGTACCCCGGAGGTATTATTTATTTGCCATTTGTTCAAGCATTAATTTTTGCCCAGATTGTGTTCATCATATTATTATTACTATTTGAACTGACTTTGCTATAATGTGTTGTTTCATTGACAGACTGATGATGCAGAAGACATGTGTGGGGCGAAGCTGGAGCCAGATCCTCGCTATGAAGGATGTTGCTCTAATGTTTTTCGTCCTGGCCGAGTAGTGCGAGATGTTATCGTGGGGTTCCTGGTCGTTCTGGCTATTGCTGTTGTCATTGCTGTTCTGTTTGTTGTGTGCTACTACCTATTACCAGGTGAGGAGGGTGTTCTTCAGTATTTGTCAGTGTGGCACCCAAATATTCCTTGTCATGATACAGATTTCTTCCAATACCTACAAGTAACTGATTGATATTTGTCTTCTGATAGTAGCCCATACCTCTTCTGTACAGTATTATGTGGTGCATAGCCTTGTAACTGTCAAGTACCCCTTTAGAATAGTTGTAATTAATCTTATGTGTACTGTATAGTGCCTGTACTGAACTAAGATATATAATTCATAATAAGTGTTGCACCATGCTTTATGTTGCTTGCTGTTTGTATCACAGAACTGCAGTCTGTTGCCCATTGTGAAATGTTTTTGTTTTGCTTTGTTTTGTGCTTTGTTCTTGCAGATTTTAACTACCCGCTTGTCTTGTGTCTCTAGATAATAAGGAAGGAGAGTCTGCTCTGAGTGTGGAAGAAGGAGCCTTTATCGGGGCACCTGTCGAAGTAGAGTTAAATCCAAATACTGTAAGTGAAGTAGAATTCACAGATAACACCAGATATGACATAGCCCCTGACTCAATGCTTGAGAAGATCATCAAAGATGGGGATGCCCACTTGAATACTGAGGACGAAAAAGAACATCACCACATGGGCCCTACTCCTTATCCAGAGCCTGAACCCGAATCTGAACCCAAATCTGAGCCTGAGCCCGAGCCTGAATCAGAACCCGAATCTGAATCGGAACCCGAGCCCAAATCTGAGCATGAGCCCAAACCTGAATCTGAGCCTGAGCCCAAACCAGAATCTGAACCTGAGCCAGACCATATCCATGAGGAAGGTAATGCAAGTCATGACCACATGCATAAGGAAGGTGATATGGGCCATGAGCATATGCATATAGGAGACAATATAGGCCATGAACATGTGCATGAGGAAGGTGAAATGCACCAAGAGCACGTGCACAATGAAGGTGATATGCACCATGAACATGTTCATGAGGAAGGTGGTATGCACATGGAACATATGCACAAAGCAGATGATATGCATCCTGAACATTTACATGAAGAAGGTGATATGCACCACAAACACACCCTTGAAGGTGATATGGATCATGTGCATAAGGAAGGGGATATGGGTCATGATCATATGCATTCAGAGGGAGATATGCCAGTGAATATAGGAGGAGATGTAGGCCTTGAACTTGTACCTGAGGAAGGACGTGAACTAGAAGGTGTGTAATTCTTGTTTACCACAAATATTCATGAGGATTCGTGGTCTTTATCTGAGTTCAGTAGGAAAAACTAATGTTTCAATGACTTAAATCTTGCATTCATATTGCTGTCATGTAGAAATTCACACTAATTCTACCAGTTTTGTTTTACTTTTATAACTAATATTACTTTATAATGTATAAAAATTGTAATGACTATAGAAATCTTTTACAAAACATCTCAATAGTGGTTTTGGGTGACTAATCCTTTTTTACTGAACAGGTCCTATTCCAGTAGTTGTTCCCTCAACTCCATTTGATACTGAAGGAACCTTGGAGGCAATATCTGCACCCTCCCCAGACATCACCAACCCAACCATGCCCACAGAGCACACTGTCATCTCAGGGGATGCTGATGTTGGTACTGAAGTAGAGGTCATGCCCTCAGAATCTGAAAGCAATGTGATACCCTCATTGCCAACCACAGTACAAGAGGAGCTGCATGAAGAAAGTGGACTCTCTCCTCTTTTGGATGCCTTCAGTCCCCATCCTGAAACCCCCATCTTCTTCCCAGAAGCTCTCCCCAAGGAACAATCCACAGAGTTGCCGCAGGAAGAAGAGCTTGAAAGTACTCTAAAGGAATTGCCATTCCCAGAGGAGCCTACTGAAGAAGTAGAAAAGCCTACTTTGCCTGAAACTCTGTCCGAACATCACTTCCCTATTACAAATGAAGAAGAAGCACCCATTACGGATGTACCTGTAGAAGAGCCAGCAACAATTGAAGAAACACCATTGGGTAAGAATTATTCTGTACAGCACTATGTACTGTACTATTGCTGCCTTATTCTGGTCTACAGTTGAACAGTATCCTTAAAAACTTGAAAATTTATTGAGAAATAGATTTAATGTGCATGTACAGTACTTAGTTACACATAGGTGATAAAATTAAGTTTATTAAAGAAGAGTTGTACAATTGAAGAGTTTCTTGCTACCACCAACAGTACAGTATAGTAATTGCAGTACCATATTAATTTCCCTCTGTACTACAGGTACCTGCCGACCCCGCCAGCTGGAGATGTGTAGTAACCTATCTTATGCTCTTACTGCACTCCCTAACTGGGCCAATGATCAGAATGATGTTGACCTCAGGGAAGCTTCTCTCCCATTCTTCCAAGTAAGTTTGATTAGTTTTACACCCTGTTGTGTAGGATTTATTCTACAGTAGTTGAATGGTGAATCTCATAACACAAATACTGGCTAATAGTAAATTATTCTAAATTTGTTATGCTGCAAAAGTCATAGTACAAATAAGTTTATAAGGGAGAAGTAATAATAAGATACAAATTATAACTGTAACAAAGATACACTGTAATTAAGAAAAGTCATTGTTCTGTGAGACAACAGTATGATGCTACATGCAGTAAATATGTTAAAGTGATTGGATTATTACCAAGTTTAACTACATCAAACCTTAACAGCAGTACAGTACAGGTTTTCCCTAATATATTTCAGTGTAAACAAACTGTTAATTAAAATACCCATCATGGCTACTTACTACTATTACATAAGGACATCTGGTTGAAACTTGAAAGCATCAGGCATGTGTATCCAGACCATACTGTCAAATGTTTTCTCAAATACAGTACTTAGAGTTTAAGATACTTTATAAACTGCAAATGATTAGTAAAGGTGTGGGACATACCTTTAGGTAAGTGTATGTTATAAACCACTTTACAGTAGCAGCTTAATAAAAAAAATATATATATATTTTACCCTCAGGATGTGATAGTAAGATCCCGTTGCTCACCGAGGGCACAAGAATATGCCTGTGCCATCCTGGAACCTCCCTGTACTCCTGATGGGACAATTTTGCCTCCCTGTAGGACCTTCTGTAGATGTGAGTTCCATTTCATTAACCACGATGAAATATATTTGAGTTTTGTAGTGTAAATTTTTTTTAATATATAAGACATTTAGAAAACATAATGCACCAGAAGTTTGTTGATTGTACAGGATGTAAGTTAGAATGTGTTAGAAGAAATATTCTTATGTTTTCATCAGAGAGCTTATTATGTGTGTAGGTCACAAAGTTAGATTTAGCTAACAAGAATATGCTGTACAATACTTATTATTTAGCTTTGTAGTTGCATATCTTTATTTTTTTTTGTGATGACCTAATTAAACTTTCTAAAACCTCCATAAAGGAGTATTCATTTACTGATCATTTCTTATAAATTTTACAGCTGTGGCCTCAACATGCCAAGAATTCGTCATCTCAGGAGTTGGTTTAAGCGACGTATTTAACTGTGAACGCTTCCCTCATTCCACTGATCCTGCTGTGTGCTTTGACATGACCCAGGGTAAGTCTGGCTAACCTACAAATTCTGCCTCTGCTCTTATATTACTGAGGTAATGTGCTTTGCTTGAGATTTGAGATATGATGCTAAGTACTGCCTTGCTTATGCCTTGGAAAATATTGCTTACAGCATTGCTACTACAGAATACAGTATTATGTATTTGCTTAGCACTGCTTTGCTCCTTTTTTGGAAGGGTGTTTCTATATACTTTACCATATTTACTGGGTTTCAATATTATTTGACTATATTTGAAAATTTCTCAAATTATTGTTCATTGGCTCTTAGGGATTTTAATGGATTATTGAACTTCAACTGTTAAACTTCAATCCCACCACATGTGTTTCCTGTGTCAGGCAAATTGACAGAAAGTTCTAGACAAAGAGAAGGTTTTATATGTTTCAATCTTGAATGTCGTGAAAGTGTATGTTTAAGACAATAATGTGACTGGTAATGAACTTCGGGAAGTACCGGTATCCCTAACCTGCTGATGGTATGGTAGAGAAAACTGCCTCTCCCAGACTTAAAAAAGTAACACCTGTGAAAGTAAATATATTGATGAATGTGGTAAGAAATAATATTAAACTTAATTAGGGACATTATATTACTATAACACTGTACAAACTTATGAATGAGATGAAGTGAATGACTATGGAGATTGATTTATATAATGATGGCACAGGATGGAGAAGGGTATCCCCAGTGTAATGTTAAGAGTGAATGGTGTTAAACTAAAGGTTATTACTGTAGTTCATATTACTGTATCTACAAATATTATAGTGAAAACAACAATGGTAACACTGTCTGATTCTGGATCAAATATACAACGTCGGTTATGAAAGCAGGGAGAACTGCAGCAGTGTACCTTTAAAAATATACGTAGTAATACTGTACTGTAGTAAAATAAAACAAATTTTCATCGAGAAAACATTTTGTTAAAATGCGACATTAAGTAATTGCACATAAATTGTTTTGAGATTTTTTTAATATAAATTCTATGCATTCAAATTGTCTGTGGTATGAAATAACATTGGTGGTGGTATTGGTGAAGGCTATATGGATGGTGTTCGTAAGTTAAGCTCAGATCATGTTCATGGACATTGATCATATATGCAGTACAGTATACAGTATGCCTATTAGTGGTTAAGAAGGAACATTTTGTTTGGTTTAATATTACTTGTTCAGTAGATGAAATACACATGCAGAATTAACTCCTAATCTTTGGGTTGAGTATGTATAGAGTATGGCTGGTCTAGAAACCTTAGGAGTACAGTATATAAGAGCAAACATGAACTAATTAGTATGGCCCTGGTTGTTGTGGTGTTGGTTATACAGAACCTTGTGTTGGGCTGGAGCACCGCTGTGGAGATGGGCGGTGTGTGGCGAAGAGACTTGTCTGTGATGGAGTGTCAGACTGCCTTGACCACTCTGATGAGGCAACATGCCCTGGCCAGCTCCCAGGTCAGTCAGCAGAGGCTGTCACTTGTGCATATCATAGCTGGGGAAGATGGTGTTTACTCATTGGTTGATATGAATTACAAATTAAATATTTTATGGTTTGCATAGAAACCATAATTCATTCTGCCGATGAGTACACCACAAGTGCCCAGTGCTGAAAAAGAAAGCAGTAATTAAGTAGCACACGGTAGCACCATAAGTTATCAGTCTTAGACAGAGGATAGAATACCAAACCTCACAAGATTGGTTAAATAGATAACATAAAGCATGAAGTAATTTTTCAAAGGATAACCTAATTCTTACAGGTCTTAAGTGTTTAAGCTCCTTATCTACACAACCTCTGTTTTGCATGGTATTATTGGAATGTATCTTCAACACTATTTACACCACCCATTACTTCTTACTCTTACACATTTCATTTTATCTTGTTATGCACTTTCTTCTACAGTGCTGTACTGTATATCTAAATGTAGTAGCTGCATCTTTGTTGATTGGGCATCTTATAAACCCTGTCTCTTGTGTGTTTATAGTTATGAGCATGGTAATAATTTAACTGTGAAATAATGATACACCATATCTAAAATGCATCATAAATACTGACATTAAAATTATGCAATTACTATATGTACACCATGATGATCTAAATCAGTTGTTAAGAAGACCTAATTCATTACAATGTGTATTGAGTCATCCAAGCAAGAAATTTACTTTTATATAGCCCACAAAACTGATTCATAATCAATACAAAAATTAAGCCATTCCATTTGTTTTATATCAGTCATAAATTACTTTTTGTTTAAGGTGAAAGTATTTCAACTCTAGGGTTTGAAATTATTCTTTGAAAGTAAGATATTGAGCACTTGTAATGAATTATTGAGCACAATATTCATAATAGAAATGGATGAATTACCAGGGACTTTTTTTTTTCATTCTAGTCGTGTGAGTGAGCTTGAAAAACAATTCAATCTTCATATTTACAAAAACCATAAGGGAAGCACATGCACAGTACATGTTAAATATCACTTCCATTTTTTTTTACAAAAATTTATATATATATATATATATATATATATATATATATATATATATATATATATATATATATATATATATATATATATATATATATATATATATATATATATATATATATATATATATATATATATATATATATATATATATATATATATATATATATATATATATATATATATATATATATATATAAAACTCTAAAAAAAATCCTACTTTACCATTTTAGATTGGTCATGGTTGTACAACTTTAAAACAATTAACTCTATGATACTGTATATAACATTTTGCAGGATTTTGTAAAGATTTTTCCTTTCCACTTTTGGCAAGGTTTACTTTATGAAAATTCTGCACAATGTTGAGCAGAAATCACTGCTGCACTTACCAACTGACATTGATAAACTGCATGTCTGCAAATGACACATTAACCTGACTCACAGCTCCGGGTGGCGTGGTGAGCGTCGGAGATGTCAGCATCCTTCCGCAGCTTCCCAGTGCCAACATCCCTCAAGACACCCCCATAGCTGAGGACTATGCTACAGGAGGTGACAACTTCCCAAACGAAGAATATTCAGTTGCTGACTATCCTGATTATGAAGTAGCTCGGGATATTCCGGTTACTGTAGATTATCCCAATACTGGATTTAATCGACCAGCAGTTGAATTTTCTTCTGCAACTGAGGACTACCCTGCTGTGTCAGAGGATTATCCATCAAGAAGTTTAGACTATCCTAATTCAAATGTTGATTATCCTGCTGAAACTCAACCCTTGGCAAGTGAACATACTGAGTTCTTTGATGAAGGGGAAGCAACAGCAGCTGATGTACACACTGACTTTTTTGCACAGGAAACTATTAATTCCACTGAAAGTCTCCCAGGGGAAGCCACTCAGAACTTTGGTTCTGGTGGAGATTTTGCCCCACCTACTTCCCCTCAAATACTTTGTGACCACGACAAGTTCCAGTGTCAGGATGGCTCAGACTGTGTAGCCATGGCAGCTGTGTGTGATGGTATCCAGCAGTGTCGTGACAGTTCTGATGAGTTTAATTGCACACACATTGGTGAGTCTCAAGAAGTCGTCACATCTCTCTCTTCCTCTCCAGGCTTTGGAATAACTTTACATGATGGAAGACTGTCCATGACTCCAAGATAAAATTTCTTTTCTGATAATGTATATTCAAACTTCCTGTAACTGGACTTCCTTAATTGTAAAAGAAATCATGCTGCCAATTGAAATTTTGACCTGTACTTTTGTCATTTGTCTCCACTGTAATGAAAAACATAAACAAAAAATTCTTATCCTTCTTCACATAAGCTCTTTATATGTGAGACTGCATGACTACATGACTTTTCACATTTGGGAGAGGTAACTCATCACGTGGTATCTCTAAGGAAGTATTTTTCTGGGTTTCCAACATACTTAATTTTTCCCTCCACTTCCCTTGTTAAGATTATCCCTTTGTTCTTAAACAGCTATGAATTGCATGTATGACTTTTACAGTACAAGTACAGTACTGTATATGTAAGTTTCATAAATTACAGTATTATCCTGTATGTTAATTGTCATAACATTAGAAACTTTAATTGTATAATCATACATAAGTCTCATCTGTTGATTTAGAGTAAAACTGTAAATAAGCTTCCTAGTTCAAGATTGGGGCCCTGAAAGTTTTTGACAAACCAAAATTACAATAATCATCAATTATATGGTCAAGTAAGCTCTTTAAACTTAAAATATTGTACAGTATTGCAGTCCCTAATCAACCCTTTGTATTAAAAAATACTCGTGAATAATGTCCCTGATAAAATATTCACGATATAATATCTTAGGATGCAACTATGGTGACTTCCGGTGTGCCACAACGGAGTTATGTATCCCAGTGTCTTGGATATGTGACGGTGCTGATGACTGCCATGACAACAGTGACGAGACTAATTGCGACACAGAACATCCAACAGCAACCTACACTACCCCAGCTGGAGAGCATCTTGAAGCTCTTGCACCCTTAGGACAATTTCCACTCCCAGGCGGTCACTTGCAAAATGTGTTCCAAGAGGGAGTAGCTTCAGGAACTGAAGAAAATTTCAGTAATTTTGAAAAGTCAATAGCAAATGGAGATGAGCCTGTCAGCGGCCAATATGATAATGCTGATATTCTTTCTGAAGACTTTTCAGATATAGCTCAAAATGACAATAATGTTGTGAATGGACCCCATTTTAGAGAACATGCAAGAGAACTATTTTCTGCAGATACTATCAAGACAGAACACATTCCATCACAAGAGGCACTTGTTGGACCACCACCTGCTTTAGAAAGGAATCCAAATCCTTTAGGCAATGGAGGACAATTACAACCATATTCTGAAGAGAGTAAAATAAACCAGCAGCAGTTTTCTGAGGAGATGACTTATTTAGATGAAGCCATTCCCTATACACCTGCACAACATCCAGAGGACCATATAGCAGCACCACCAAACCAGCCATACTACGATGAACAACGGCAGGACTATGAGCCACAACCTTCACACCACATTTCTGAGATTCAACCATCTTTCACAGAGCAGTTTCCAAATTATCAAGATGGCCTTTCATCATCTTTAAAGCAACCTTTTTCTTTCTCAGAAAACCCAATAGAAAATGAAGGTAATGACCAATTTCCATCACCTCAGGAATCCCTGTTATTCTCTCAAGAAAACCCCCAAATTTACTCAGAAGCCCCTATACAGACAGGTTATCAAGAATCTCTACCATCTGGAACAGAAGGTTTCCAAACATTTTCTAATGAAAATGGCCCTCAATCTTTCCTAGAGGAGCAGTCACCACGAGAAGCACTGCAAACACACCATGAGCAACAACCTCAACAAAGTAATTATCAGTCCTCTCTGGAGCAAGAACCTGCAGAAATTGAAAGTCGTCAAGATGACGGTTATTTGCAGCAAGGTGGTGCCCAACCTTTGGACAAAATAGAAAAACCAGAAGAATCACATCAGCATTATCCAGAACAAATTTTTGAAGAAACTGAAAGAGAAAAACCATCAAACACGGATGAAACCAACTCAGTCAGTGACTATTTAATACCAAATTTAGGGAGCCAAGGTACAAATGAAGGGTCTTTAGAAGAACTGGAAACTAATCTAAAAGAAATTGATTTTACAGTACCTGTTACAAATGTTCCAGAACAAACAGCAGAATTTGATCGACCAACAAGAGTCAGGGGTAGCTCTCGCTTCTCCAATATCCGCCGCCCCTTTTCCCGCAGCCCTACAGTCTCTCCTAATACTAATTCACCTACATCTTCTCCAACTGAGTCAACATCAAGCTCTGGAAATTTCAGATCTCGTTTCCAGCAATGGCGTTCTTCTCGAATCCCATCAGCACCAACTCATGAAGCATTTCGGACAAAAGGTTTTAGGGGACGTCACCGTAATACTCCAGTTACATCGGACACAAACGGTGTAGATGAGAAAGAAATAGCAGATGATGGCAAGACTCCATCAAGTTTAAGAATCCCAACCCAGCAATCTGTGGCTCCTGAACGAATATCTCGTCGACGTCCAACAATAAGGACCTCAAGATTATCCTCTACCCTAAACTTCTTTCCCCGAGAGGAATTTCTCAAAGAAGGCATAAATTCTGACACAGATACTGAAGTAGATTCAGCAGTACCTGACAGTGAGCCTGCATCATCTGCCATTACTCCAGTCATTGTTCAGAAACCTTTGTCCTATTCAGTCCAACCTTACTCCTCTCATTCTGCAGACTACCATATATATAACCCCTATGAGGAGACCTTAGATGCTGAGCAAGAATATGACCCTAGTTTAGTGACCTATGACTTCGAACATGACCCAAATAGAAGGTCACTTCAATTCAGTCGGGACTCAGGATATGACTTGACAATAGATTATTCTCCAGTATACCTCCCATATACACCAAATCAGTACTCACAAGGTAACACACAAAAATAAACGAGGAAAATCTGCCATATCTCGCCGCACTCATTCACGTATGTATAAGCTACTAATTTTGCCACTACTGGCTGCATGTTCAGTTCCTCTTCATGTCTGTCCTTTCCCAAAACACATTACATATCTGTGATGATCATATAATATGATGTTGATCATTCATTACAGCATAAACAGTTTGTAAATATCTAAAAAAGTGCACAAACATAAACTAGACATTTACTAAAATTTAAGACAAAAATTTTCACACATAAAAAGCAATTGTAAATAGGTATACCCTATTAAATCTCACTTACATAATTCTAAAGTTACAAAGCTTATACCAATAAAAATATAAGGAGCACATTAACTAACAAATTTCTATTCCCACAGAGCTCAACACATCAGCAATACCGCTTTCAACTCCTATAGAAACCCAAACTCCCTTCTCCAGCGATGTTGCCAGTGACATAACTTCTGTACCTGAGGAAGATACAACTACACACGCCCCGTTGGAAGAAACAACAATTGAACCTGTCACTTTACCTCCAACAGAATGTCCAGAATTGGAATGTTTGGATGGCACTTGTATTTCTCTCTCTCAGCTAAACAATGGAGTTAATGATTGTGCAGATGGCACTGATGAAATGGACTTTGGCCTGTAAGACGACACTTTATAACACAAATGTTACAATTGTGTGATTGGTTTTGTAAAATGAGGAAGCTGAAAGAATATAAAATACAACATGTATAGATAATTATATTTAAAAGTTGGGATGTACAGTATTTTTAAAGTAGCAAATTTTGGAGAGGACAGGTGATATATGATCTTCTACCATTATCCAGTAAAAATATTGTTCACTACCTCTTAATATTACACAATACTTTTCTAAGAATGTTAGTTACAGTATTTCAAATTAATGTTTTACTAAGGTTGATATTCCTCATAATTGTTAAATTTGTTTTCCTCTATGAGGAAATGTCAAATAGATTTTTACTAGATAAATTCTAAACATTTTACAATGTTAAGGTGGTCATCATTCCAGTAAAGTACACCTATAGATCTACTACAGATGAGTTCAGATTATACTGTATGGGTTGTTCAAGGACTCACTTCCGAGATTTTGTGACTTTCTTAGTTCCTTGATGATGTTATTATGATTCACCGAGTATAAAATAAATTGTTAGTTTTAGTTGTGAAGCCAGTCCGTCCATGCCAGTGTTTAGTCACTTATAATTATGCACTTTTAACCCTTCAACGACACTACTTATTTTTTGTTATGATTTACATGTACAGGTATTACATAAAACACTCATACTATTTGAAGTTAAAATTGGCGATGTTCACCTTTTTTTTTAAACTAATCTTTTGTAAATAGCTCAAGTCTTATGTTTCCACTTCTTATCAATTTTCTTTACCTTATTGACCCCCAAAAAATCCTCAGTTGCACACTTGAGAATTTTATGGCATAATGCCATCTATTCCGTCCACTGCATAAATTTGACTTCAAAATAAAAAACAAATAAAAAATCAAATATCTATACCAGAATATAATCCTTTAGCACTATAGAGAGTTGTGAAGGTTATTTGTTGGTCATCTTTGGCTGTTTTAGAGGTGTAAACTATTTATTGCATTCTTATTTATATTTTGTTCATAAATGTAAACTATTTCTTATTGGCTTAAGAGGTTGAAATATACAGTATAAAACTTAATATCCTTCATATACTCTCATAAGTAATGAAGAAATAAATCATTAAGGCTTTACATTATTAATTTGTGTATGTTTACCATAATTTACATAAACTCAAATATGTAATCAACTCACATTCCATGCAGCTTCCTCATATAATTAGAAGTTTTAACAATTTTATGTATCTTTATCACAATGTGCTCTGTGATAAGTTATAGCTATGAATGAATGTTTTGTAAATGTTTGTCTTGAGAGAGTGTGTGTGTGATGTGAATGGTCTTGAGTGATCCAGCCAACATAAACAGGAAGATAAGGAGCCAATTGTAGATATTGTCAAAGATGTTTATTATTTAGAATTTATTATACTTATGTGATCTGAAAGGTAGCTATTTACTTTAGTTATTTTCTTTTTTAAATAAAATATTTCCATACTTACTTGAGTTTTGCTAACATTTTCACAAATTGTCAAGTAAATGGTCAATGTATATTTCTGGAGGTATTAGGAGTACCTGTACTGCCACCAATCTGGTGAGCCTCTTTTGAACATTCTCAATTAACTGGCAGTCTCTAGCAATATATTTACTATTACATCTACTTATCTTAATATCCCAATTTTCCTTTAAGTGTACAGTACAGACAACAATACATCCATTCTAGTGAAAAACTAAAAATTTAACTAGCATGGTGACTAGAAGCTTTTAAAAAATTACTGCACATAAAAAAGGAACATGCATTAAAATTAGGCTGATCATGACATCACCTGTCCACTCTCACATCTGCCATATAGTACAGTACAATGCCTGTAAAGTATTATTTGTATATTTTAAATACTGTACCGAGATTCTGAATATCATAAGAAATTATTTACTGCTTTGGAAGGTACAACCGAGGACTTAACTCCCACATACTAAACCACAAGTTAAGTTCTAGCAGACACACTTGTAATGATAAGGAGGAAATACTACCAATCATATGGCAATAACCTGAACTGGTGGTTCAGATGGAGATATGCCTCAAAGCTCAAGAGACAAGTGTAATTACTAACCTTGCTACACACTTGAAGACTTCAGTTGTTGAAGTGCTGTAATGACATTTTAACATCAACATTGATTCTTGATCCAGTGCTTCATTCATGGAGTCTCACTTACTAGGAACACACTAAAAATGGCAGGTGGTAGAGGTCCTGCATAATGAATACATTTTTAATAAATATATACATAGAACACGTACTGCTATGAGTTATTAAACATTTGTTGCATATTGCTAACTAAAGCTTTTTTACTGTAGAGTATTAAGTATTTCATGACACTGTAGATTCATTTTAATGAAAAATCTTATATATATATAGTGTACACAAACAAAATAATCTAGCTATTAATTTGTACAACCTCAACTAATGAACTAGTTGCTGCTGGCAGCCAGGCCCGATGTTAAGTGAGAGGGAGGGCCTAAATCCTATTGTTAACAGTCGGGTGAAAACCCTCACTTCTTTATCATTACATGATACATTACAGACAAATTAGAATTAGATTTGGAAAGAGTAAGAGTAGAGGATGGTCAGCAGAGGCAGAGAAGCAACAGGTGGACAAGAGTGGAATTAGAAGAGAGTAGTGTGTCGTGAATGACATTGCAAGAAGTACACTAGAATAACATACTGTACTTACTGTTTTTATTTCAACTGAGTGAACAAATATGGATACTCTATTATTACAAAAGATAATAAAACAAAAATCCATAAAATTTTATCTACTAATTTTCAAATTTATTAAAATCACATGAAACTTTTCACAGAGTACGCAAGTTATACATAATTATATAAAGCCAGTCACACAACAACCATTCATCCGTTCTCATGTTAATTAACTACAGGTATATCAAATGAGACTGGAATGTTGGAGTCATACAGAAAGCATGAATACAATGCTTCCCAACAATGTGTGAGACAAATATACAAGAAAGAAAAAGGTGTTAACATAGATGCTATACAGTTAACCCTCACTTTACGCGGTTAATGTAACCCGGAGGGTCCCGCGTAAAGTGAGAAACGCGTAAAGTGAATTACATAACATATGGGATTAATTGAATTGGAGTCCGGGCCAATCCCCAAACTCCACTTTTTGACGACACACAACTATGTTGTAGTAAAAATATTATCTTAACTTTATGATGGTATGCACACACAATTAATAATTAAGAGAAATATCAATAATATTAGGTTTTTTAACACTTACATTAGTAGAAAAAATGGCTGGGCACACGGGGATGGGCGGTTGGTTCCGAGGCAGAGGGCAGATTATTGGCCCTCACCTGTGTCACTTGTATCAATTGTATCACTATCCACCACAGAGGCTTGCAGGGCCTCTTTGTCAAACTCCCCAAAGTCCATATAAGTCCATATCCTCACCATAATTATCACTATCACTGACTTGGGCCGGCTGTGGTGGGTGGCGGGTGAAGAACTGGTAATGTTTTGATGACTGGGCGACCTTGTGCGCACCATGTTCGCGCAGCTTACACAACATGGCGGATGGCGGGAGGTATGGATCCAAAAATGGCGCGGCTCGCCAGCCGCTCTCCGCGTAAAGGGGTACACGCACCGCGGAATGTGAGCATCCTGGGTTCCGGCAGGGCACCGCGTAAACGTGGAAACGCGGAATGAGGGACCGCGTAAAGTGAGGGTTAACTGTATTATATAAGGAAAAAAGCACTTTTAAAACATGAGTAACAAAGTCTGCTGTGCAAACCATGCTATGTTATTTCACCTTTGCTTTACTCTTAGAGGACTCTTGTCACAAAATGTTTAGTAATACTGGTCCCCCTCCCCCCTACCCCTGCTAATATACAGTTTGTTGGCTGATGACAGCATTAATCATTTTAAGTAAATGGAAAATATTGAGATTTTCATATTTTCTTCTCAACTCTCCAAAAACAAAAGATATTCAGAGGTACCAGACAACTAATACATATAATCAGTGGCGTGTCGTGAGAAAATGCTAGGGTCAGCAAATGACGCTTTCTTACTTGTAAAGTCACGAGATCTAAAAGAATTCTTTAGTAGATCACATACAGTCTGTGATCTACTAAAGAATTCTTTTAGATCTCGTGACTTTACAAGTAAGAAAGCGTCATTTGCTTACCCTAGCATTTTCTCACGACACGCCACTGCATATAATATGTAAGGATGTAAGAAAAAAAAATACTGTTCATTAACCAGGACACATAACAATACCAACTATCATGTGTCCAGAACTCCTTGGTCACATCTGGCCATAGGGATACTGTACTGTACCACAAGAGCTAAATCTTTAACACCAGGTCAGTGCACAATATGGCAGCTAACAATCACCACACCTCCTCAGAGACTTGAGATAAATTCTGTATGTTATACAAGTTTATACAGTGCACTATAAAACAACAAATAAATCCATAACCTATAAGACATACACTATACTATGAAAAATTACCAGCACAGTAATTTTCCAGTCTAAAGAAAACCATAGTCTCTGATAAGAAATAAAGTAGAAATGTCAGATTTATGGCAAGAGGTCACTGCACCAGGAGAAACACATTCCATATACCAGTACATACAGTAAAACAATTTCCAAATGAGCAGCATTAAAGTACATTTTCTTCAAGTTACCATATAAATGACCAGGCCAGGTCTCCTCTTCTACACATCCTGTATACTGTACAATAGTTTCAGCTTAGCATTGCGAAGTGTACATATGCATATCTTTTCCCTCATTTCATGCAGAAGAATTATCCAACTCATATGTTTCATCAACAGTAATATATACAAT